TTTTTTGAGACAGAGCCTTACTCTGTTCCCTGGGCTAGAGTGCTGTTGCGTCAGCCTACCTCAAACTCCTGGGCTCAAGCAATCCTCCTGTCTAAGCCTCTCGAGTAGCTGGGACTACAGGCCCCTGCCGCCACAACATCCAGCTAATTTTTTCTATTTTTAGTTGCCCTGCTAATTGTTTCTATTTTTAGTAGAGACAGGGTCTCACTTTTGCTCAGGCTGGTCTCAAACTCCTGACCTCAAGCAGTCTTCCCACCCCGGCCTCCCAGAGTGCTAGGATTATAGGTGGGAGCCATCACTCAGGGCCTTAAAGTTGTAATAGTCACCTACATTTACATCATCTCCTAGAACCTGTTTCATATTATTCAAAGTTTGATGTTAAATGGAGCTTATTTATTTGATGTAGTGGCTGATTACATGACTTTATAGGGTCTTGTGGAGGAGTTTTAAAAATTCATCTCATGTTGGTTGAATTATTTAATTAAAATTTCTCAAGTGTTATATCTGAGTTCATGTAATGGGTGATGATCTGAGAATGTGAACAAAATGCTGGTCATTTTACATAGGTTTTGGTGTTTTGGAGGGAAATGTCTGCTGGAGGCAGTATCCATTAATGTGATTGGACTTGGGGTTCCCCCCAGTTTATGAGAAAGGTTGTTGGGGACCCAGGGATTGGACCCTGCTGGGCACAAGTTCTTAGGGAGTCATCAGTGACTGAGTTATACCTTTAGAGAGGCGAAAAGCCTTTTGTGGTATTTTATTGGTTTCTAGGCAATGGTTTCTGGCAAATCTAAATTTAAGCTTAAGTGGAGAGGATATTCTGCTTATCATTGGAAATTCTCAAACATATGCAAACATAAATAATAATACCTTGAACCTTGTGTACTTTTCATCCCAGCTTAATAATTTTTGGCATTTCACCAATACTGTTTTATCTATCTCCTTCATTTTTTTTTTCCTGGAATATTCTAAACAAATTTTAGGTGTGTAGTATTGAAAGAGAATGTTTTTAGTATTCCATTTCTTCAGTTGAAGTTGCCACAGATTTTGAAGTATCTTTCTGATAACATCTGTCTTGAGAATCTTCTAAAATATCTAACCCCAGGATATGTGACTGCCTTTTCTTACAGATGTAAGTAAGGATTATGCTATTGATGTATGACTTCTATTTCTTTGCTGTCTGTGTATACAAGTCAGGATGGCAGAGGCTTTGAAGTAGGAAAACCCGAGTGACTTTTGCCCTGCAACAAAATGTGCTCATGTAAACTGCATGATTAAGGTTATCAGTAGCTGAAATGATTGATGCCATTGTTCTATTTAGCTTTAATAAGGAGTAAATTTCCTTAAATTATGTTTTTTAAATGTTGTGTTACTTTTTGCAGGTGGTAGTATAGAGAGAAGAAATATCGTTTCTATCATATGTTTAAAGTAGATTTTTAAAAAAATTGTTTATTTAGAGACAGGGTCTTATTCTGTCACCCAGGCTAGAGTGCAGTGATGCAATCATAGGTCACTGCAACCTCAAACTTCTAGGCTCAAGTGATCCCCCTTCACTGGCCTCCCAAAGTGCTGGATTATAGGCTTGAACCACTGTGCCCAAACAAATTTTTTATTATGTAATAATTTACAGAATGAACCCACCTCTCTACAACTTAAATGTCAAGTAGTGGTTGCTACAAAAGTATACAAAAATGGTACTTTGGTATTATTTGGTGTGGACACTATTCATTATACTAAGAATAAACCCATGTCACAATTAAAATTGATGATTAAATGTCAAAGACTAAATGTCCAATATAGAATAAGAACTCTTTAAAAGTAGTTATTAGTACTTAATGTTATGATTTTTTTGGTTTATCTTAACATTAGCTGGAGTTGATTGAAGTTGTAACCAAATTACAAATGTATTTGAATTTAAGCATTTATCTCCCCAAATTTGGAATCTAAGTAGTTTCTAGGAGCTTGGCCTAAACTTGTGAGTGCTGTTACTTACGTGCATGGGCAGGAATTATTATGTTATTAGAAATATTCAAGGTCTGGCTTTCTTTGATAGGCTTCAAGTTTGATCAAGAAGACTTAAAAAGTAACCCTAATAGAGTGCAGTGACATCATCATAGCTCACTGCAACCTCAAATTCCTGGGCTCAAGCAATCCTCTTGCCTCAGCCTCCCGAGTAGCTGGGAGGGACTATAGGCCCATGCCACAACACCTGGCTATTTTTTCTGTTTTTAGTAGAGACGAGGTCTCGCTCTTGCTCAGGCTGGTCTCGAACTCCTGACCTCAATCCTCCTGCCTTGGCCTCCCAGAGTGCTAGGATTATAGGCCTGAGCCACCACGCTTGGCCTGGAGTTTTTGACTTTGCAGAATTTTAGTTACTTAATTGTTAGTTCACTAAAATAGGTGGATAAATGAGTAGGTTTAATACTTTCAGTATACTTTTTTGAGTTGTTCTCCTGTCCTTTTTTTCCAGTGACCACTGTCATCTACTTTTCTTTTTATAAAGTTAGGAGTGTGTTGTATTTATTCCTTCTTTTTATACTTTGAGACTTTATACTATTTCTAGTTTATCTTTTGTAGAGAGTTTATCTTCTTTCTTCTCATGATCATAATAGCTGATATTTACTGAACACTGACCAAGTGCTAGAGACTGTGCTGAGTACTTAATTATGCATTACCTTATCTGATCCCTCTACAACCCTATGAGGTAGGCACTTTTTATATCTCCATTTTCCAAATGAGGAAATCGAGATTTGGAGAGGCTAAAGTAACTTGCTTCCAGTCATCCAGGTAGTTTATGACAGAGCTGGGATTTGATTGCAGATCTGCCTCACTCAGAGCCTATCTGCTTTGCCATTATGCTCAAAATAAAGAGAAAACAGCCTTTGCCTTATTTAGTGGTTGCTGACTTCAAGGAATGATAGGGGAAATTTGGACTTTAAATAGATCAGTACTCCCCATCTGTGTTTGATTTGGTTGATTGATTTATCCATTAATTTGCTTCATATTTATTGAGCATCCACTGTGTAGCAGGTGTATGGTATGTACAAGATAGGTGTAGTCTGGGACTTTATGGGATTCTGAGCTTACAGTCTAGTTGGAGAGGTAAACATGTAGCCAGGCGGTGGTTTGAATGTGCTATGAGTGGATGAACGGGGACTTTGAGAGCACAGAGGAGGAACCCCAAACTCAGGTCTGAGAGTCAGGGAAGACTTCCAGATGGAAGTGAAGCCTAAGCTGACACTCAGTGGATGAGTAGGAGTTAGCCAAGGGAAGCCAGTGGAGATGTGCTCTAGACAAAGGGAACAGAATGTACCTGGAAGCGCGAGAGAGCTTAGCATGTTAGAGAAACATAGGTAAGTACAGCTAGGGTGAGGGGAGTGCAAGTTGGAGATGGTCAGGCACAAAGCCTGATTCCTTTCTTTGCAATTGGGATATCAGGTAAAAGTTGGGACTGGTTAAGCAGATCTCTTCTTGCCACCTGTTTCTCATGAGCTTCACGTGAACTTTATTCTCCCTTCTCTCAAGAGGCAGGAGAGTTAAGGGCACAGATTTTGGAGTCACACTGGGTTCACACTGCTGCTGAGTAACTTTATAACAGTGTTATTAATAAGAATCTATTCTTTTCTCTAATGAAACAAGCATTATAACAGTATCTATTTGTACATAGTTGCTTTGAAGATTAAGTAGAATATATTTAAATACTGGTTAGCACAATGCACATGGTAAACACCCAAAAGATGATAAAGCAAGAGGAACCAAGGGGTCCTGCATTCTGTTTTCTCAGTGGCACAGAAGAAAATTTGGCTGGGCATGGTGGCTCACACCTGTTAAGTGCAGCACTTTGAGAGTTTGAGGTAGTAGGATCGCTTGAGCCTAGGAATTTAAGGTTACAGCGAGCTATGATCGTGCCACTGTACTCCAGCCTGGGCAACAGAGTGAGACTCTGTCTCATTCATTCATTCATAAATACATACAAACAATAAATGTATAATGAAGCCCAAGTATCTGTTGCCTCTATTGAGGGGTTGAGATTAGTTCACCATAAGGCCAAGAGGCTTTATTCAGTTTGGAGGATTGCTTGAGCCCAGGAGTTCAAGGTTGCAGTGAGCTATGATCGGATCACTGCACTCCAGCCTTGGTGGCAGAGTGAGAACCTGTCTCTAAAGTGAATGAATGAATGAATAAATAAATGAGTGAATAAATGAATAACTAACTTTAAACATATAATGAAGCTCAAGTATCTACTGCCTTTATTGAGGGGTTGAGATCAGTTCACCCTAAGGCCAAGAGGGTTTATTTCAGTTTGTGACACCTTTTTAGCAGAATAGAGGACAGCAGGCTAGATCCAAA